CCCCGCACGGCCGTCACTTCCCAGGGCGGCTCCCCCCGCGACGCCCAGGGAGAGGGGGACCCCGCGGGCCGGTTGCTGCTGGGGGAAACCCGTGGTCTCTGCCGGGAGAGGGGCCCATGCTCGCTGGACAGAGCTCGGGCCACCGCGCTGAAACCGTGCCCCATTCCCCCCCGGCGCACCGGGCAGCGCTAGTGGGGGCTCCACCGTCCGGCTTTTGCTCTAAATAGTGTAGATAGAAACTTAAAGAAAAAAAAAAAAAAAGAGTACCTCCGCAAAGTCTCTTCTTCAGCCGGAGCTGCCGCAGGCTTTTAGCAGGAGCAAGGGGAGCGGGCCCTCATTTTATCCTTTTCTCGTATTTAGTGGCTCCCTTTGACGGAAACGTAATTTGTATAATTAGCTGAGCGCACACGGGCGACTGATGGGCTGTGGAGTGCGCAGCTCTCGACGCTAATTGCTCTCAGAAAAGGATTCAGGGCGGCTTAAGGCGAGCGATTTGTTTTTTAGCATCAGGATGGGCAGCTTTCGCTTCAGCTTAAAGCACTCTGCAATAAGGGGTACCCCTCTTGTAAAAGCCCCTTTTCCAGTGGGGAGAAAGTATCACCGCCTCTCGGTTCGCCCGTGGGGGCCTATAAGGGTCAGATCCTGCTGCCATACCCAGGCTGTGGTGGCACAGCACGGCGACCAAATGTGAGCTCTCAGGATCGGGCCCCTCATCATCCCTCTTTCCTCACTCACTCTCTGCAAGTAAATCGGCATTATTCCTTTTATTTGTTTTTCCTCCCCCTCTTATTAATAGAAGGGGTAATTTGGAAACGTTTCTCGTGGTCGAAATAATTTTATTTTATTCAGAATATACAGTTTAATTCCTCTATCTACAATTATTTACAGGGTTAAAATAACATTGAAAAAAAGTCTCTGGAAAAGTTGAGGTCATAGATTTCAAGGCACCATTGATAGTGTCCACAGCTGAGCCAAAAAATGTCCGTGTTGTATAAAAAAGGGTTTCCTTTGAAATGCAATAAGTTACATGCACAAGCTTTACACATTTTAATCTTTTTGTTTCTTTTCCCTTTTAAAAATACCCCATATGCATTCCTTTCGTTATTATTCCTTAACAGTAAAACACAGGAGTCCAAGGAACAACAACAACAAAAAATATTAATAAAATAATAAGGGTCAGACTCTAATAAATTGTCCCAGAGGCCAGTGCTAACGGGTGCTGTAAGGAGCCGTGGGGCTGGAGGTGGGAGTTGATGGAGCTGGCAGCGGGGTACCAGGAAGTGGAGCTCTCCAGGTAGCTGGATGCGGGGGACGGGTTGGAGTTTGGAGGGTGAGCATGTGCATGGGCATGGTGGCTGAGGGAGCGGGATGAGCCCTGAGGTTCCCAAACCGCTGGCGACTGTGGAGAGTTGCAGGCCATGGGGTCGCTGGAGCTGGGACTGTGCTCCGGGGGCATCTCCCCGTTCTTCATGATCTTCTTGATCTTGGATCTTTTATTCTGAAACCAAATTTTCACCTGGGAGGGGGGCAGGAGGGGGGAAAGAGG